TTTACACTTAGTGTCATGATCCAGCACAAGCGGAAGCCTCAACTATGCACACAGACACACATAGGCAAGTACACACACATGCATACAGGAGCACATACACGTGCACACACGAGCCCACATGCACATGCACACACACACACAAGTGCACAAACACGGGAGTACATACAAACATAAAATGAGTGCATGCACACATGCATCTGTGCATGATACACACATATTGCACACATGTGCACAGACACATGTATGCACACATGCACTGCCTTCTGGGCATGTTTGAGGGCCAGGCCAGCAGCCTTGCCTGGGGCACCCAGGACTCCAGGTGGAACCCGTCTTGGGGAAGTGGCCTGGTGCACGCCTGCTGCAGCACTGTAGGACATGCATGTAAGGAACATGTCTTAGAGGGTAGCTTGTGGGTGCTGAGCTGCACGTTGGCCCACACACTCTGTCACAGCCAGGTGGGGCAGGCGGGTGGGGTGCTCACTCACGCAAATGCTGGAACAGATCAGCACAGCTAACCACAATGGGGCTGTGTTGGGGTCTGGGCGAGTGGTGAGGGCCAGGCCGAGTTCCTAGGCCCCGAGGTGGTCTGTGTTGCACAGACATTGTGCTTGGTTGGTGCTGACCCTTGGGGTCACCTTCGGGTCGAGCTCCCCACATGACCAGGTCTGTGCACATGCCATGCTGCCCCACGGTGCCCTCAAGGTTATTATTGCCCCAAAGTGCTGTTTCCTCACCAAGACATAAAGAAAACTGATAAATGGCAGAGACCTTAAGAAAAATGAATTCCGGTGTGTAAGTAAGTATAAACTTTATGGACCTGTGTGCCTGTTTTTAAGTATGAGACAGAGACAAAAGCCTAATGTCAGCTGGTTTACCTTCCAGGTGGGATACAATGTCTTTGCTTAATTTGCTACTTTCCAGCACAGTGATTCAGCACAGGAACAAAACACCAACGAAATGGAAGAAAGAAGTTTAACTCAGGAAGACAGTATGCATATCTCATCATGTCCCCAATTTGAATTCTCAAGACTTCCAGGGGTGGGAGAGGAAAGCCTGGGGAGTACCCTCACAGAGCTGTGTTTAGGACAGTTCTCTTAAAATCTCTGCATTTGGTGGGAATCTGCTCATACACACAAGTTTCACCTAGAGAAGCCCTGACCTCAGTTTGCCACTTTATCTGCGATTGATCCTCAGTAGGATGCCAATAAAAACCTTGTCGCTATAGGATCAATACAACCTGTGCTAAAGCACAGTGCTCTCCACAGAGCAGAGCCTCGCTGTCTGTGTCTGCTGGGCTCTCATCCTGGCCTTGCAGACCCTGGTGGTGTGGGTGTGGCCAGACCTACCTGGATGTGCCAAAGGCAGGAGGGCCGGGCAGGTGAGTGGGTGAATGGGCCTGCGCCCCTGCCTGGCTCTGCTCACAGCACAGGAGAGGGGCCCAGCCTGCCTGCCTTTTGCCCGTCACCCCAGGCCTGGATTTGGCCTGTGCACTTGCCGCGGTCTTCCGTATGCTTCCTAAATGCCAGCCTGGTCCCTTTTTTGACCTCTACTCCTGACCCAATGTTTTCCTACTCAGAAACTTTCAAGAACTTTTCCTTTCCTGAAGGAAAAGTTATACCTCATGGAGCTGGCCCAGCTGGACCCTCCCACCTTCCCTGTGGGCCTCCAGGGGCCAAAGGTGAATGGCCAGGTGCTCCAGTCTGTGGGGCCCTGTGAATAAATAGGTGTGATGACTGAGACTGGTGCTCCTTGGACTACCTCAGGGGCCTGGACTGTCTCAGAGCTCCATTCCCTGCTCTCTTCTGGCTTCTGGTGGCTGCTGACAGTCTTTAGCTTGTAGACTTGTCATCCCAATTTCTGCCTCTGCCTTCACCTGGCCTTCTTGTACATCTCTGTGCCCTGTCTCTTGTAAGGACACTGTCATCAGTGTAGGCCCAGTTCTAGTTCAGTTTGATCTTTAAAGACCCTATTTCCAAATAAGGTCATAATCTGAGGGGACAAACATTTGGGGGGACAAGATTGAGCCCAGTACAGAACTGTCAAGGTTGGCAGTTTGCTCATTTCTTCCTGCCTGGGGCTCGCTTGGAAGACCTTGGGGCCAGTAGCCCTTGCTGGGCTGGGGTCCTGCGTGTACGGAGTTGTGAAGCCTCGTCACCAGGGTGCTCACGCACCTGAATGCATCTGTCAGGTGAATAACCTTTAAAGAGCTCAAACATTAAAATTGATTGCCCAAAGAGAAAAGTTTGTTTTTTTTAAAAAAAGTTTTTATTGATCTCAGAGAGGGGAAAGGAGAGGGAGAGAGAGCAATAGAAACATCAATGATGAGTCATTGATCGGCTGCCTCCTGCACGCCCCCTGCTGGGGATCAGGCCTGAAACCCGGACACGTGGCCTGACCCAGAATCAACCAAGATCTCTTTGCTCATAGGGTGACGCTTAATCACTGAGCCACGCCCACCAGGTGAGAAAAACTTTAAAATAAGTTACCCTTGGCTTATTTGCAAATGTTTTCAGGTAGCAACCATAATAACTTATTTGGCAAATTTATACTGGCACATCACTTTCCTGAAACTCCATGGCAGCTTGGGGCAGAAGTGGCCTCGGAGCTGGGGAAGGGAGGCTCCTTATCCAGTTGGAGAACACAGCCAAAGTGCCAGAGGACGGGAGTTCAATGCCCCGGGGCTGCTCTGAAAGGGACCTTCTCCACTGACCAGGGTTCTCCGGGACTCTCTGCCTCAGACCAGGCCTGAGTCTTGCTCATTTTAGGGGCTATCTTTCTGTCATCCTCACCTCCCAGCCTGTTTCCTGCCCTCAATCCCAGGCCCCTTGTCCTGACCAGGGGGTATGTTACCTTTGTTGGGACCCTCCCCTCAAATTCACCTACAGGACAGTGCCTTTTCCGCTGGCCCTTTTGCCCCAGGGCTGCTACGCCTGTCCCAGTGGGCCTACTCCTGAGCATCCCTCCTGCCTCCCAAGTGTGACTCTCCTAGTTTTTCCTTAAGTGCACAACCTCAGTTTTCCCATGTAGGGGCTTGTCTGCCCCTGTGGAGTGCACACAGGCCACCCTCCCTCACTTCCTGCCCCTCTCAGCCATCCCTCCAAGCTCTACCAGCTGCCACAGGCCAGCCCTCACCTGGGACCCTGTGGGGCACCTGGAGCACTCCCCTCCCCTGTAGGTGTCAGCTGGTCAATGACTAATTGGTCTTGAGGGCTCCTCATGGCCATCTATCGAGCACTTTAGGTTCAGTCTCCCTTAATCCCAAACACAGTCACTTCACAGGTGGGAAAACCAAGGTTTAGGGAACCTGCTTCTGTCCCTAGGATGGAGCCCGTTTGAGAGCCAGAGGCCTGTGCTGTCTCTTCTGTTGCTGGGACCCTGCCTTGTTCTACATGCAGGGACCAAGGATCTGTTCCTAAGCAGCCTCTGTGGGACTTTGTCAGCTCAGGTACGGGGTGGGCAGTGTGACAACCTGAATCTCTTTCCAGACCTCTGGGCCTTAACCACATGCTAACTACCATCCCTCAGTCCCTCAGAACCCCAAACAGCCTTTCCTTCCAAACTCCGTATCTTCCCCTTCTCAGCCAAGTGGCTCCACCCCCAGGATCCTGTCCCCATGCCCTCAGCAGGCCCTTCAAGTCCACACTCTGCTAACTCATCTCACTCAGCTTTCCATTCAATAACCATCATGTGGGCTGGATGCCATGCCTTTGGAGGGTGCCTGCAGTCTGCCACTTGCCATGACTCCAAGGCATGTGCTTGCTCCAGGGGGACCCATAGGACACAGATTCTTCATTCTTTTCCATACTAAGTCCAGAAATCTGGTTGCCTCTGACATGTAGAGCACACCTCAGTCTTTCCAGCCACATTTCAAGTGAGCATCAGCTGCGTGTCTGACTTAGAATGACAGCCTCTTCTCCCTCACACTTATTTTCACCAGGAAATGTGTTAAACGTAAAGTACTTCACACAACATAACCCACACGTACCCACCACTGAGACTCAGTCTGCGTTGCCATTGAAACTAAAACAGCAGCCCCTGCTGGCGTGGCTCAGTGGTTAGAGTGTTGGCCTGTGCACTGAGGGATCTTAGGTTCAATTCCTGGTCATGGGCAAGTACCTGGGCTGCAGGTTTGATTCCTGCCCAGTCGAGGTGCATGCAGGAGGCAAGCCATTGATGTTTCTCTCTCACATTGATGTTTCTCTTTCTCCCTTCCACTACCTCTAAAAAGCAATGGAAAAAATATTCTCAGGTGAGCATTAACAAAAAAAAATTACAAGTGACATCATTACTTCTTAAAAAGCAAGGGCAGATCCTGGGGAGGAGAGGAATTGGGGGAGGAGAGTGAAGGCTGCTGGTGAAGAGCACAGCTGGGCTCAACCCCCCATTCTCTGAGATCACATTACTTTTTGGAATCAGAAGCTTTAAAGGCAGAGGCAGCAGTGGGCCCAAGAGTGTGCCAAATGATGTGTCCTGTGGTAACTGCGGAGAGTGTGTCCTCTGGGACACCCTGGAGAGCAGGACCACAACTGATTGGATGAAATCCCCATCTATGATTGGTGCCGGGTACCCGGTGCCCACCTGCTCCCCTCGGACCGTGAGGCTGTCTCCAGGAGAGCCCCTCAGCACGGATCGCAACGCTTGCCTGAGAGAATGGCAGCCTAATGGTTTGGGGCATACATTTCCTTGAAAACCAAGTGGCCTGTCGTGGAAGCAGCACCCACCATAGATGCTGTTGATTACGACATTTGAGCTTTCACACTAAGAGTTTTGAGAAACTTACATCCGCCCCTGTGCTTCCAACATTTTGAGAGTTCTCATGAGACTGGGCAAAGCAACTGTTGATTTGTGGCTTTGCATAACGAACCATGCCACCATGTGGAACCCTTATTTTCCAGATGCGAGAGTGACAGAACCACAGCTGGGGAGGGTCCCTCACAGCCCCACAGAAGCAATGAGCCCAGCCCACTGATGTGCTTTCAGACCGTATAGTGCAACTAAGCTTCCTTTTCAAAATAACTTTATTTTGCAGAAGTTTAAATCTCACAAGAAGTTGCAGAAACAGTGCAGTTCCTTGTCCTATGCCCCAGCTTCCCCCAGTGGCATTTAAAGCCACATAGGACCTGTGGAAACCTAGTGCCTGAGGCCGGTGCAGCACTAACTCAGGTGCAAAGTCTCACATGCACTCATTGCTTTTCCTCCGACTCATCTTTAAGAGACTGTCATTTGTTGAGTTTCAGTGAAGTGTCCGAACAGAACAGCCATGAGGACCAGAAAAGGAATGAGCTACTCCCCCTGTTCCAGCAACAGGCCTGCGAGACCATGTCACCTGTACACACATCACAAGAGACCGAATGCAGAATCCAACCATCTTCAACTGAGCCAGACACTTGGGATTTGCAAAAATATAAGGTAATGCCACTCTTCTTGCTAAATATTTTTGTTGTGGAAAATAGTTATTTTTCTTAAAAATATTTTTTATTAACATTTTCAAATGAGTAAGTTTCTGAAATGTCTTAGTTTTAATTTCAAATGCACCAGTGCCAACAGCTGTAACCACATGAAGCAAAGCTCTGTGGGCCCCTGGTTTCTACGGTTGTGTGAAGGGGTCAGAGCTCTGCAGCCAAGGAGCCAAAGAGCCTCCTCCCCCAGGCCTGCGGGGCTCTCTGAAGGTCACACACATGACAACCTTGCAACCTTCTTATACACCGTTTTAAACACACAAACTCGGTCGTACCATAACTTACCCAGAAGAAATTGAAAGTTCAGCAGTTCTGTAGTGACTGTTGACAGGGGAAGCTGATTCGTACTCGCACCAAGCGCTCTAGAGTGACCCTTGTGATGCGACTTACCACTGACTCTAGTTCAAGTATGGTAAACCGAGAAACTGAAGCCATTCATCAACATGGTAGAATTCGCACCTTCTCTTTAGGATAATCTTGCATTTATAGCTATTTTCCCAAGGTCTGCCTTTGCACTGGCCCGGCCCACGGCGGTAAAGCACACGCAGAGGGCAGCTGTGATGAGCAGGCGCGTCCCCTCATACAGGAGCTTTGGAGAAAACACACTCCATATGAACAGGTGGTAGCGCAGGGCCGTCACCAGGATGATGTAGGCAGCAACTGGGATGGAGCCAACCAGCGCGTAGCAGAAGCAGGCGTGTCTCAGCGCTGAACTTCTGTTAACAAGAGGGAGGCAGGGTTAGCACTTGCCACTGTGCCACCTGAGGCACAAACGCATCGCTGACATTCTTACTTTGATGTGTTTTTATTGATTTCAGAGAGAGGAAGGGAGAGGGAAAGAGAGAAACATCAACAGTGAGAGAGTCATTGATCAGTTGCCTCCTGCATGCACCCTACTGGGGATTGAGCCCGCAACCTGGGCATGTGCCCTGACCAGGAATCGAAAGGGAGACCTCTTGGTGCAGGGGACAACCTCAACCATGGAGCCACACTGGCCAGGATATTTTGGAAATGATGAGGTAATTCTGGCTACTAGGTCAGGTCAGTCTGGTGGGTGGAGACTGCATTTCCAATGGGCACTGAGATGCTCCAGGAGACAGTGTGCAGGTAGGCACCTCCCCCATGCTCCAGGGCCACTGTGATCTGAAGTATTTTTGAAAACTCCACCCCCATGTCCACACAGTTATCTATTTTAAAGTGATATGCATGTACTACTACACTGTCACATATAAAATATAAACGCTGAAAAGAAAATCACACAAGACTATGAACAGCTATATGCCAACAAACTGAACAATCTGTAAGAAATGAATACATTCCTAGAAATGTACAATCTTCCAAGAGTGAGTCAAGAAAGAAAATCTGAACAGACTAGTAACTTACTACTAATGAAGTCAAAGCAGTAATAAAAAAACTCCCAATAAACAAAAGTCCTGGACCAATGGCTTCCCACACAAATTTTACTAAACACTCAAAAAAGAATTAACATATATCCTTCTTAAACTGTTCCAAAAAATTCCAAAAAATTAAAGAGGAGGGAAGGGTCCCAAGCTCATTTTATGTGGCCAGCATGATCCTAATTCCAAAACCAGACAGAGAAACTAAAAAAGGAAATTAAAGGCCAATGTCCCTGATGAACATAAATGCAAAAATCCTCAACAAAATATTAGCCAACTGAACCCAGCCACACGTTTAAAAGATCACACACCATAATCAAGGCTAAACAGAGAGCCCAGAAATAAACCCCAGCCTACATGGTCAATTTGTCCACGAGAGAGGAGGCAAGAGCGCACAGTGGGGTAATTAATGACAGTCTCCTCAATAAATGGTGCTGGGAAAAATGGAAAGATGTGGAAAAAATGAAGCTAGATCACCAAATTCCACCACATAAGAATCGACTCAAAATGGACTAAAAACCTAAATGCAAGGCCCTCAGCACAGTGTATGCCGCTTTCCTCTACTCTCAGGCCCACACGGACCCCATGGGCTCCCCCACAACAGCCCTGCTCTGGGAAGCATCCTGACCCAGCGCTCTGGATCTGGTCCACACTGAGGCCCCTCCAGACCTTGAGCTCCTGCAGGGAGTCCTTGTGCACCATAGGCCCCAGTAGGGATCCAACCTATCTCGGAGGGGGAACCCAGGGAGTCGTCACCTCCTGGAGCCACGGCACCAATAATAAAGGGGAACCTGGGAGAAGCTTCGTGGCTGGACAGGCCTTGGCCCCTTGCTGCCCTTGCCTGGGGATTGCGTGTCTGTGCTCAGCCCAGAGACTCTGTCCTTCCCCCACCACAGAGCACAGGCCTTCTGTAGCCACACCCAAGGCCACCACTCCCATCACCTTGGCAAAGGGTGACCTGCACTTGAGGAGAACAGACAGCCCTGTGCCAGACTGCTGAGGGACAGGGGAAGAGCTGCACCTGCTGGGTTCTGCACTCAGGAAGTTCACCAGGTGGCTGGCCCATAGCACGGGCCCTGTGTATGTCGCAAACGCCGTCAGGAACATGGCCGGGATCTCCACGTAGGTACTCAGGCCCACGAATCCTGCCGAGATGTCCACCGTGGCGATGTTGTTGGAGTTTCCCTGCAACATAGACAGACAGCGCTGACACAGCCACTCTCATACCACTGCCACTGTGATGATGAGAAGACGGTCGTGGTGACAAAAACACACAAGAGCCCTGGCCTCCCATCCACCCCTTGCTGTCCTGGCTGACCCTGGACACACTGCCCCTCCGCCAGCTGGCCTCCTCAGACAGTGAGGAGCAAGGGCAAGGTCAGGTCCTTGAGAAACAATATAGACAGAAGTCTGATGAACTGAGGCAAATTCTTAACTTCCTTTGTTCTATCTACTTAACACAGACACACTGGCACCCCCATACCCCCAGGGCCCTGTCTGAGGGCTGCATGTGACCCTGGGAGGTAACTGGTCCCGGGGCCCTGGTTGGAGGCTGAGGGTGGTACTCCCCCTGAGGTCTAGTCTGACAGGATGCTGCTTTTTGGCTGGAGGGCTTTGGCCATTTCGCTGGTAGCGAGGAACCTGCTGCCACCCAACTTGTCCTGCACAAGAGGGTGGGGTTCTGGTCTAGGGAAGGGTTTCCTGGCATTCAGCCCCTCTCTCTGCCTTCAGGCTCTATCGATGCTGGCAACCTCTCCTCAGAAATTCAGGACATTTACAGCCCAGCAGGGCCCCTCTGCTCCAGGTACCCAGCGGCCCAGGACACAATCCTGCAGGTGTTTGCAGCTCTGCAAACTCACAGTCAACCCCACTGTGTCTTCCCCGGGCTGGTGCCATTCCAGGCGGTCACAGTGGGGGGCCTCCCAATATCCTGTCCTCACTGCTGGACCTTGGGCCCATCCTCGACAGTCACCCCTGAGTACGACTTCCCCTTCAGTCCACTTTGCCCACGGCTACCTGGGCTCCCCTGATGCCGTGGTGCCTCTTAGCCACCCTCCCCAGAGACCGAGACCTGGAGCTAAGACAGTCTCAAATGCCAGGGTGAGGGGAAGTGTGACAAGGGTAGAAGAGCAAAGTGGCTGGAGGTCCACAAATGTATTGCTGTTTGTGCAGCTAAGGCATGAACCATGCGCCAGGCTTTCTTGGATTAATTCATTTAATCCTCAATAGTCCTGACATGGTGCCATGTGACCCTTAGTGTACAGATGGGAAACCGAGGCAGAGCCCCAAGGACCTGTGGGGGCCAGCAAATGCCATTAAGGAGTTCACTGCAAGGGGCACTTGCCCTGGACTTCACTCCACACCCCTCTAGGCTTCAGGGAACAGACAGAGAAACCATGTGACTGGGCTGCTGTGGTGAGGCAGGAGCAGCAGAAAACCAGGAGAGGAGGGGGAGAGGGTGGGAAGAGGCCCAGGTCGACCTCGGTACACACAGAAACAGACAAGTCTTTAGGTCTGGACAGAGCAGGAGGAGGCAGGAACTTTGAGAAAATAGAGACCCTCTCCTAAGGATGGGAAAACAAAAGCTGAGCCGCCCAGCAGCCTATGGTCCTCAGCAGGGTGCACAGTGGGAGGGAGTAGCCCAGGAGCCTCAGGCAGTGACCAGGTCAGGGGTGGGGCTTAGAGCCACATAGTAAGAAGGCTGAGAGGTAACTGGGTCCCTGCAAGGAGGGGAGCTGTACCCCCATCCACCTGTCCAGGTGCCCTTCCAAGTTCACCGTGTACACTGAGGTCTATCCTGGAGGTGGCCTGGGCTTGAGTCTGATGAGCCTTTCAACATCAGAGAGGAGCCCGGTCAGGCGTGGCTCAGGGGTTGAACATGGACGTAGGATCCAGGAGATCGAAGTTCGATTCCTGGTCAGGGCACATGCCTGGGTTGCGGGCTCAATCCCCAGTCAGGGGATGAGCAGGAGGTAGCCAGTCAATGACGACTAATTGATGTTTCTGTCTCTGTCTCCCTCTCCCTTCCTCTCTCTGAAATCAATAAAGATATCTTTTAAAAAAACTAAAACAAAAAAAAATATCAGAGAGATGTGCTGACTGCCAGGCACGAGAGCACAGACACTGTCTCAGCAGATGGGTGGTGGACATGTGCTCTGTGCTGGGCAGGAGCCGTGTAGCAGCCAGCTCAGCTGCCGTGGACCCACCACGCACGTCTCACAGACTGTGTTACATCCTATAAAACACACGGAGACTGAGCATCAGTTACCATTCCACTGACAGCTCTTTCACTAACAAACAGTGTAACTTCCCAGCTTACGGTATAACTTTCTCAAAGAAAAATGAAATGATACATGACATTAAGTGTTAGTGGTCTTCTACCCATGATAATGATGAAGCCTACCTGAAAATAAAAGAACGCCTGCCCGAACCAGTAGTGCATGGCGGCGACCTCCACAGCAGTGTGCCGCAGGGGCCTCCAGACGAACCTGGCCATCATGGTCTGGGTTAGGAGGCTGCACACCAGGACGGGGAGGTTATGGGGCCTGAAGAGCAAGGCTGCCAGGAGCACCAGTCCACTGTGCACATCCCACAGACACATGGGCTGGACTGGGACATCGGAAGCGAGGGCGCAAGACTGAAGCATGCCTCTGGTGCCCGTGAACAGAATGCCGAGGACAGACACATACACACAGCGAGCTTCAATGATGCCCCTAAAAAGCCAAAACAAATTAGACCTGTTAGCAACACCTAGAAAAATGCAAGCACATATTTTCCCATGAAGATGCGTGTCTACTCAGCGGGCTCACAGGCCATAAGCCCTGCCTGCCGGGTGGCCAGGGGAGGAGGGTGTCTGCCTGGGCATGGCCCCCGGGCCCCTTTCTGCATGCATTCCTCTGATGAGCTGGCATACGGAAACCTTCCTCCTCTTGCCCAAGGACCACAGGGCCCGGCTCTGCCAGGAACTTCATGAGCTGACAGATGTGGACACCACCCACACACGCATGGCCACACAGGTTAAGCTGCCTCTGCACGTGTCTGTGCACACAACTGTGCAGTCCAGCAGGGGTCTGGAGAAAGGTAGGGCGGTGAGTCTGGGCTCTGCCACTTCTTAGCTCTGCTGTTGTGGGCAAGTGAGTCAGGACTGCTGATGCTCAACTCTGTTACTCGTCACTGAAGGGAAATGGCGCCTGCACCTCACAGGGCTGCCCTGGGAACTAGGTGTCTCCGCACTTCGTTTACGGTTGCCTGCAAAAGACACAACTGCTGACACTATGCCGAAGAGCATAAAATACATGTTCCTAGGACATGTTTAAATAAGTTTCACAAAGAAAATATTTTATATGAGAAAGGCTAATTGCTTAAGTAATGCTAAATAAAAATATTTTTAGTGAAATAATCATAACATATATTTTGAAAAAATAAACTTCCATATTTTCTCAGGAAGGTTTATGTATTTAATTTACTTTTTAAAGAATGGCTTATTGATTTGTTGAGACAGAGGGAGAGGGAGAGAGAGAGAAACATCGATGGGCTGCCTCCTGCTTGCAGACTGGGGAAAGAGTCCCTAACCCAGGCATATGCCCTGACTGGGAATCGAACTGGAGACCTCTTGGTGCACGGGACTACACTCAACCAACGGAGCCTCACTGGCCAGGCCAGGCTTATGCATTTTAAAAACAACTCTTTTTAATATGATGAGTTAATTCCAATAGTGGAAGCATGGTTAATTCTACCGTGTGACGACTCAAGCCTGTCCCAGGGCCACGCCCTGCCATGGAGCTGAGGTCAGGTGCACTCACAGTCCAGGTGAGCTAAGCTGAGCTAACGACAAACCCCCATGGTTAAAGGAGAGAGCAGCGGAGGCCTGAGCAGTCAGAGCTGATGGAAGAGAGGGCTGGGCTGTGTCTGCAGCCCCAGGGCAGGCTGAGTGGCACCCAGGAGGAGGAGGCCACTGAGTCCAGGCTTAAGCACGAGCAGCCAAGAGTAAATGTAAAGGAGGGTTTTAGATACTGATGGGGCAGCAGTGCCTGAGGCCCAAGAGGAGAGAAGCAGCTGTCCGGTGATGCAGAATCAGGACAGCTCTGGAACCAGGGTGGATCTAGAATCGGGACAGACAGGTGGAGACAGAGCATTTTACAGGAAAAGTGAGTCAAGCAGCACAGACCAACCAGGACATGCTGGTCTGCGAGTGCCCCGTGCCTTGGAAGGGAACCTTGTGCGAGTGCTCCATGCCCGGGACAGGAACCCTGTGCGTGAGTTGTGCCTGGGACAGGAGAAAGCCTGTGTGTGCCAGTGAGCCCAGGAAAGGTAAAACATGTGTTCCAAGTTTTGAAGTGAGTGATGCTGGAATTGGGGCATTGGCCCAAGAGGAAGTGAGGGATTTATTCGTGTCTAACAGTGAGATTTAGAAAAATGACCCTGCAGTAAACACCAGAAGTGTGACCTCCAGCCCTGGCACATGTCCAGTCTCAGACTCTGAACTGCACGTTCTTTGAGATGCTGTCCCCACCTGGCTGCCTCCTCAGGTGAAGGCCCACCTCCCTGCTGTCCCCTCAGCTAGGCCCTGGCATCACCTCGACTCCCCACACCAGTTGGCAGGTCATTTCCAGGGATGCCTCTGTGCCCCTTGGCTACCCACACGGCCTAGCTCAGCCCTCAGCTTTCAGCAAGACCTTCTGTGAGATAACACTTGGTTTTCTCCCTCCGATTAGACAAGCAATACAGAACTGAGTGAAGGGAAGATAGACCCCCATCTACGATCCGTGTCCCAAACACAATCACTGCCAATTACGTATTTTAGTCTTTCACACAGGAAAGACTACTTCCTAAGGTCAGGCCGCACACAGCTGACAGCCTGCTGCTCCACATCCCCGCGCGTCCTAGAAACACAATGCTCCCTAAACAATGCATGGCTGTGAGAGTCCAGCACAAGCTCCCACTAGCTCAGAGGCTTGTCCACTACAGCTAGCCAACCACCCCGTGTTCCATTCTGTGCAACTGTGGGTGCCTCAGAGCAGAGCAGTCTGCACCCGTCTCGGGCCTCCTCTCCACTTGTCTCTGGACATAAATTCTCCAAGAGGATGCCTGAGACAGAGGGTTCTCCATGTTTCATACAGTCATCAACACCACACTCCACATCTCCACTATAGAGCAGCTGCCCCCAACCTGCAGGGATGGACACGGGCTCAGCCAGCACGAGGCTCTTCCTCAGTTCACTGCAAAACGTGGAGAGCTGAGTTTCTGCTGTGTTTCCCAAATGCTGGGAATGCCCTCTGTCACCTCATTACCTCCCGGACAAACAAAGCCAAATCCTTTAGATCCCTTGTTCTTAAAAAAATCCCTTATTTTAAAAAATGACCTTCAAACCTCTCCCTCCCAAATTACTGTCTCTCTCCCACCAGAAGAGAGAGGGAGACAGTTCACTGGGGCCCTTTCAGTTGGGCCCTAGGAACTGTTGCGAGATCACTTCACAAACAGCAAACCCAGTGCCCTGAAGACGGCAGGGCCTGTGTGAGCCACAAACCAGGAGGGACCTTGAGACAAACCCAGGGGCTGCCAGTGTACTACCTTGAAATGTCTTTGTTGCCTCGTTGCCATGGGGACAGCACCTGGCCAATGGCTGCCCTGTAGCAGTAGACGCCCAGCAGGCCAAGCGCCAGGGCTGCTCTGGACACTTGGGAGCACCTGCCCTGAACCAGCACGAAGATGGCAATGAGGGACAGGGCAGCCAGGACGGAGAGCTCGGCCTTGTGGTCAGAGCTGAAATGGAATGGAAAATGCCAGAAATTACTGACCAGTGTAGCTGGTGATGTTATGGGTCCATACTGAGTGGGTTTTTAAGGGCTGTACTAAAAATAGCCGATTTCCCTGAAAAACATGAAAGAAAATTGTCGATTTAAATGCAAACTGAGATTCTCACAATGAAGGGCTGCTGACATGAACTCCAGCTTCTTGCCGTGGTTCCCCTCACTGGCTCCGCCCTGGCCAGGGCAGTGATGTATATAAAACACTGTCCCCTGCACCTCTTTTCTGAGGCAGCCACACGTGTTCCCCAACACAGGTGAGGAGGTGCTGGGCAGACCACATGTTTCTCAGGGCACATCCACTCACGGGAGACACCACCTTCTTATGGGATCCCGTTCCCGGGTGGGAGAACCCAAGAGGTTCTGAGGCTCATAGGCAACAGTCACAGGGCAGGGTCGGCCTCTCTCTGCCTGGCCCATGCCCACCACTGCTGCCCCGGGGAGCACTGCTCAAGAACAAAGCCCAGACATACATTAGCTGCAAGGGGATGAGTGACTCTGCCCAGTTACATAAAGTGAAACACGCCTGGGAAACATACAGAGGGCACGTGTGGCCTGGTCCTTGCTCTGGGGGTGGTCACATGGGTGCTCACTCATTGCTGGTTTGAACTAAGCATTTCATGTACTGTCCTGAGTTAATTGCCATAACTGAAAAAGAGAAACAGAAAACAAGTCTGACACCCCAAACAGGTCTGTCGTGGAGCAGTGGGGTCCAGTTGCTGCCTCTGCTAACTGGCAGGGACAATGTGACACAGGAGAGGAGCCCAGCCAGAGGGACGGGTCCAGTGTATCGGGAAGGTCCAGACTGGGCAGGGCACCACTGGGCAGGAGCCGGGCAGGGCGGTGGGGTGCCCTACACATACGTGAGTGCACCTGGGTGGGGAACCAGCAAATTCTCCTGCATGGCTGCAGTTTTCTGAACAAGGGGTGGGGCCACAGTGCTGTCCCAGTGCCATGGGGCTTGGGCTTGGCTCCCTCACCCCAGGTGGGACAACAGTGTCCTCTCTCCAGGGCCGCTGTGAAAGTGAGATGAGTGGGCTTGCAGCAGGATGCCTACCAAAACTTGTCTCCCGTGGCTGCTGTGGCTGTCAGGGGCTTGCTAATGTTGTTGATGGCTGGGAGAGATCCCCCAGGAAGCACTTGCCAGAGAAGTAAACACACTCACTGGCTCTGAGGCAAGGTCAAGCTGTCTTCCAGAAGGACTGTGTCAGCATGTGGTTTCAGGGTCCCTGGGCTTCACCCAGGCTGGGTTCTATCCCTTTTGTTTCTCTACATTGTTAGGTACAAAGTCACACCTTGTCATTTACCTGAAGCTTTCTAACTGCTAGTGGGAGTGAGCACTTTCCTTGCTCCTGCTGGAGCCCCTCCTTTAAGCAGGGGTCTGTGACTGTCCTGAGCCCTTCCTTGCAACGACCAGACTTGACCTTATCCACTGCACTCCCGGAAAACTGTTCTTTCACTGGGCCAGTTCTCCATTGATGGACAGTAACGGCTGCACTGCTGCCAGGCCTGGACCTTTTCCTGTCTGGCTTCCACCTGCTGCACCTTCTCCCAGGTGTTGAAGGACCTGCACAATCAGCAGCCAGCGAGGGTGAGGGCAGAGCTTTGCTGCTTCCAACCACTGGCTGAGCCCTGCCCTGTCGTCTTGTTGGGAAGCAGGTGAGCCACATCCTTGCTGCGACTGTCACTGAAAACTCAGTTTTCAGACACCGATGACAGGGATTTGGCAATAAGACACCACACGTACGAGGCTAACCTTGTGTGAGGTCACCCTTCAACATCAACTCACAGGTTAGGGTGCATTTTTCCCCTTCTTCCAACATCAAATACTGTGTCTATCCTGAAGGTGAAGAATAAACAGATCTACATTTGGAAAAAGGAGATTGCGTGGGGCCAGGCAGCCATGGCCACGGCGCATGCTCTCACCTGGTGAGCCAGTGCCCCAGATCAGGACGGTGGGCCCACTGCACCCCAGTCTGGTTCAGGGACCGCAGGAGGCGGCAGCAGCCGAGGATCAGCCATGGGCCAGCCAGCATCATGCACTTCTCATGGCCTGGGAGTGTGTCCAGGGAGGACAGGCTCTTATGTTCCTGGTTGACCTCTAACACATCGCAGCCAGTACTCTTGTCCTGCAAAGCTGGTGCCACGCTGGCAGATGCTCCTTCCACATGTGAGCACCGCTGCGGCTCCCTGCCATCCCGCAGGAAGCAGTCCCTGTAGCTCCTGTGACCCAGGGCCAGACACAGGGTGCTGAGGAGGAAGTACCAGGTCTGGTGCTCTTCCTCAACGAAGCTGCTTGCACCCAGACTCAGGGCGTGACCCACAGTCCCAGCGAGGATAAGGAGACTCAGCTCTGACCAGGAGCTGGAGAGGGCCAGATTCTGTAAAAAGGAAGGTGTGTTTGTAAGGGAAAATCTGAAAATTGCACATGACCTGCTGCATGCTGGTCACAGAGCTTCACTCACCGTGACACTCACCGGTGATCCCTGCTCTGGAGGGACGGCCCACTCTCCTTGGCACAGCCGGGGACTTGGCTGTCTGCACCCTGGCAAGCCTGTCCTAAGCTGAGTGACATGGTGGATTGTTTAGACCTGAACTGCCTGAGCAGTATACGGCTGAGAGAGCTTGTCTTGGTCCCTGGCCTAATCCTTCATACAACGTCCTCGCCCTCTCGAGCCTGGGTCATCAGGTGGCCACAGCCAGTCCTGCTACTAAAATCAAAGAATCTTGAGGACATTTCCCAGTGAATCAGACCTCTGACTTCTCCATGAATGTTCCAGAATTTCAGAAGTTTCCACTGAAAGGGTTGATTCCATTGAAATGAAAAGTTGGCATCCTAGTACCATCCCCTCTGCACCCACTTGAAGCATGAGAGGGTGAAGATGAGCACTAGCAACTCACTGGATAACTCCTTGGTATCTATTCTCCGGTGTTCAGCTGGGATGCATCGGATAGGCACAGTGGGCCTTATCAGGCCCTAGAGTCATGCGGCCCAGGAAAAGCCTGCACTACGCAGGTCCCACAGATGCGGTCCTGCGCCAGGCCCGGGCTCTGGGCCAGGCCATCTGCCCACCTCTTCCGTCCTGCCCTGCTGCCACACACAGCTAAGAAACGAGGGTTTGAGAGGCCACAAGCTTGAGGAGTTCTAAAGGAAATCGTCCACAAATAAGACGACCCTGTACCAGGCAGGTTGGGGTTGGAGGGCAAGGTTTGGAAGGGGTCTGTGCTGCGTTCCCCCTTCCCTGGGCTGCAGCCCAAACACCCTGAGAGATGGTCTGACTCACGCACATCCCATCAGCCAGCTGCCTACTTGGCTGTGACCAGCAGCTCTGCATAGATCCTGTATGACAGTTACAGGACCCTGTCTTTCCCTGACAGGGGAGGCCTGTGATATGACAACATAGAGCTCAGAGTCTGAAGTAGGCACCCACAACCTAGGGACAGGCTGCCCTCACCAGCTCCTTTCCTGCCCCAGCCAACGATGTGCCTGCTGCACACCAGGGCTTTGCCCAAGGCCCAGTGAGTGAAAGATCGACTAAGTAACAAAATCCAGAAAGATGGCGCCACATCTGTGGAACCAGCCTTACCCTCCTCAGAAGCTGCCCGTCCACACACGTCCTGGTCAGAGCAGACACAACTGCACAGAACATCACGGAGACCAGCACCATCACCGAACCCGCTGTGGGCCACGAGAGGCTGCAGAGGTAGCAGAAGCCCTCGGCCGAGGTACACACGACGACGTGCGTGGCCCAGAGGAGCAGGAACATCAAGTAGAAGAGCAGAGAAAACAGAGGCGACGACAGGGGAACCTCCAGCTCAGCCGTGGCGCCCAGGGCCTGTGGGATACTGAGCAGGAGCAGGGCGAGAACCTGCGACAGGAAAGCAAGGGCCACGTCCATGACCGCTGGGCCTGCAGAGAACTGCCCAGAACGGCACCTGAAGCACTGCGGTGAGCAGTGCCTGGCCCTGACAGGACTGTGTGCATAGGACCCACGTGAACAGCAGGAAGATGCCTATTTTTTCATTTTTGGGAACAGTGATATCCTACAGACTCTACACTGTAATGTTCTGGCTGGGTTATCAAGTCTGTTCCACACCTGAGCCACGAAGCCACATGAGCACTGTACCTCCAGAACCACGACGGTCCCCACCACCATCGAGTAGATGTCGTAGTGTGCCACCTGTCTGCTCAGGGCCAGGCTCAGGGCCTTCAGGGCATCCAGGTACTGCCTGCGGACCTTGGTTCCCAGGTTGAGAAGGACTTCTGAGTTATTTTCCTCTAAGTACAGTCTGACCCAGTTCCCGTGCAGCTTTTCTGACATTCTGAACTGTTCAAATCCAGGCTCTGACAAGAAGAGAAACATGTCACACAGACACAGCACAGGCAAATGCACATGTATAACTTCAAATATCGGTCATCCGCGGCCTGGGGAAAACTGACACCTGATGTAGGTGAGCTCTTCCTGTGTGTGCCAGGTCATGGACCACATCCTTGGACATCGGCCTCCCCGCCCACCGCCCTGCCCACTCCTGAATCCTGCCCAGACCTTGCCCTCTCCCCTGCTCTTCTCTCTCACTCAACTGCTTATGATGTGCAACAGAAAAACCATCCAGAAATGTGTCGGGCTAACAGGCCTTGGCTTTACTGAAACTTCTTGTGCTCATGCTCCGTGCGAGGACTAGGTAAGCAGGCCTGACAGTGTCTCCATCGTGTCCATGTCCCCAGCGCAGCTGCCTGCCCCGCCTCTCAGCAGCAGCTAGCATTGTCTACAGCCCCCGTCACCACATCCTCCCTTCCGGGCAGGACAGCCGTCTCCCTAGCTCTGCTGCCACCTACGCTTCCAATGAGCAATGTGGCTGCAGGACCCACCCGATGCAAAGCCAGGGCTCCTCCAGGAAGCCCAGCCCCAACAGCTGCTGCTCCCCCGCTGGGATGGCAGTGCCCTGCTCCCCAAGGTCAGAGGGCGGCCTTCCTTCCTCTTGGAACTAGGCCAGATGCACAGCCTGGCATCCACGCTGTATGAGCCCTGAGCACAGGCCCAAGGCCGACAGCCCCACCTCTGCTGCTGCATCAGCCAACCAGCACCCCACACGGGTACCAGCACCACCCTCATGAGCAGCGCTCTACACGGCTATGCATTTCCTCCTCCTTGAAGTTCTTTCTTTGCCTACTTGGCTTCGACACCAACCCCCTCACCCACAAACACTACGTGGTGAACCTACCATTCTCACCTCATCAAGGCCCCCATTCCTTCACTGCCAGCTGAAGCCGGGTACTCCTGACCTCTGGCTCGCTCGGGCCCAGCATATAGGCACCAGCACATTCTGCCAGCAACATCCAGATCGCCACCCCTGCCCCAGCTGCACTGCCACTGCCTGGGCTCCACACCCTCAACCGTCCCCAAAGGGCTACAGCCGCCTCCACCTCTCCTGCAGCACAAAGCACAGCCTGTCATGGCCCAAGCTAGCCTCGGAAAACGCAAGTCCAAGAGCTTGGGCTCTGTGAAGGCCAGAACCCCTACTTCAGCCCAGTGTCCCAAAGGGCCCTCACACCCCTATGACCTCATGTCCTTATGCCTTCCTCGGCGTTCACTCTGCTCCAGCCACGCTGGCCCCTGGTCATTCCTTCAAAGTGCAGGCATGTCCTCACCACAAGATCCTGCATCTGCCACATGCTCCCTCCCAGACCCAAAGGCCAGGCTGCTCGAGGGCCCTCACCCACATGCACTCTCCACCTCTCTGGAGGACCCACTGTCCCCGAGGCACCCATCCCCCCTTGACGCTACTACTTCTCTCTCCCCCCTCCCAGACATAAGCAGAGCCCCTGTACTGCTGTCTCCAGAGCTTGTAATGGTCCCTGATCAAAAAGAAACTTAGTGAAAGAAACTCTGTATTTGTTGAGTGAATAAACTTATGAAAGAACTTGTTCAGATGATGGCCTCTGTGGGTGTTGCTCACGGCAATGGCCGGGGCTGTAAGATAACAGGGCACAGTCCACAGTCGAGTAGTCAGGGACAGAGGTCACGTACGCCTGACAGACATCAGCAGCCGACTAACCTCTCTCGTATGATGGCACGTTCTCCTGCAACAGCCTGCTGAGCTGCACTGTGTTCAGGTGTAGAAACCTCAGCTGCTCTCGCATCGCCCTGCCTTCCACAACCGGGAATAGGAGGTGGCCCACACTGTGCTTTGGAATAGGCAGGCCAAGCCCTATTGCCAGTGTGGCAGCCAGGTCAGTCTGCTGAGCACGTGCTGGGGGCCTGACATCACCTAGGGAAGAAAACAGTTTCAGGGCCAGGCTCTCAGACATGTCAGATCTTCTGCAACGAACACCAATCACCCATCTCTTCCAACCATTCCCTATAGGTTCCCATGAAAGCACCTCATTGTCCTGTAAGTGGACAGACTGAACTCCACTGTGTGGGTCATGTGCCTCCCTGGAGCAGTGACAACGTAGGGAGAAGCCAGCACACACTCAGTCCCGAGTGAGCCTACAGCAGGCAGGCACAGGGGCAGGTGGCTCAGCAGATGTTCACCCGAGGGATGTCACTCAGCGAGGGTGACAGTCATACCCCTGGAGAGGGTGAGGGCGGATCCCTGGTGGGGCTGCCTCTCGGATTCAGAGTGGTGCACACAGCCCCTTGGAGAAGCTGATGCAGACTCCCTGTGGCTCCAGGGTGGTGGCAGCACCTCTCTTGGGAGAGTGGAATGAGGCGGGTCCAGCAGGGCTGAGTCCCAGAGCCAGCTAGTCAGACAAGCCTCTGCCTGCTGTGGCCTGGGCACGTGCAGTGCTTCTAGCCCAGCAGTGGTTGGCTGTCCGACTAACTCCTGTGAGGAGACTGGGTGTGACACCAGGACCCTGGGCTCTGGACCGGCTCTGCCATCATCCAGTGCAAGGGGTTGGACAAAACTCGGCGTCGTAGGTTCTCTTATCTGTGAAGAGAACACCCAGCCCCCACACCCTATATGCTGCAATGCAAGCCCGGCAGGCGGTGTCTGGTACAAGTCTCTCACTCTAGTGTGTTTGTAGAGGTTTGGCTTTGATTGTGGTAATTTTTGGTTATATAATTTTTTTTTAATTGGGTAAAATTTATTCATCTTTTCTTGTCCAACCCTCTACTGATGGCTTCTGGGTTACGCTTGGAAAATTTTCCACTCCAATATTATTACTTTTCTTCTCATATTCTCTTACGTTAGGTGCTTGATCTGAAGCAAATCAAGACTCTTCTGGCACTTACTGGTGGTGGGCGACCATCATCCTGAGACCACCAAGCTGTGAGCCCCAATGCTCACATTGACCACCTCACAGTCCAAGCCCCAGTGCCAGGGCCAGCTGTACACAGAGATGGCTGTGGGATTACGTCAGCCGGTAACAAGCAGAAATGTACCTGACAACATCGGCACAGAGAAGGGAGGTGGGGCAGAGGTGTAATGGAGGAAAAAATGACACCATGTGGAAATGTGTCTCAGAAACACTTGTTCATGAATGCTCACAGCACCACTACTCACAAGGGCCAGGAAGTGGACGCAGCACCCTCCCGATGGATGGACACACGGACATGTGCATCCACATGACAGACATTCCTGAGTGGTAGGAAGGAGTGAAGATCGGGCACAGCAACAATGTGCACGAACCTTGACACAGTCTCCAGCCGCATGAGCACAGGCCCCTGTACATGAAGCAGGAGAGGCAGAACTGGCAGCGGGAAGGCAGCTGCTGCAAGTGGGGGGTGCTGGGGTGGCAGGAAGTAGCCGTGGCCACTAAAGAGGTGGTGAAATGTCCCAACACACATGCTGATGGCGCTGCCCAGCTGAGTGAACCAAAAGGAGTCATTCCTGGCTCGCAAACTGAGCACAATGAGATTATAGAACAGAATTATTCTTAAAGCAAACTGACAAATTAAATAAACCCAGAGTCCACTGTTGGCACTGAGGCCCATCACCAAGCAGCCTTGCAGGCCATCCATATGCATAGCCGCCTGGGGCCTCCCTGGCTGGGGGACGCAGGCAGGCCTCCCAGGGAGGAGACACAAAGACCCACTTTAGTTAAAACAGTAGCCCTAACCTGCTGACAATGAAGACCCGCCACCTAGTGTCTTTCTTCCTCCCCTTCCTGCCACTCAGGAATGTCTGTCATGTGGATGCAAGTGTCCGTCTGTCTGTTGCGTTGGGTGCTTGCTTCCACTTCCTGGCTCTCGTGAGTGGTAGTTCTGTGAACACAGGTCTGTGAATCATGTTTCCACAGGGTGTCATTTGCACCACAGAGCTCGGGAACCTGCGGGACGATGGCAGGGAAGAGAAGGCTGTTTCTGGCATAGGACTGGCTCTCACTCAGCTCTATGGGACCCTGCTGTGGTCTGAGTGTGAACAGCAGGGTGTGGAGGCCGGTGCTGTGGTGGGCTCTGTGACGTTCACAGGAAGGCAGGCTCCCAGGGAGGGTGATGGAGAGACAGCTGAATGTGGGAGGCAGGCCTTGCAGGTGACAGGGGCCCACACATGTGTGGGTGGAGAGCTGGGTGTGTCAATGATGATAGATGAGTCCCCAGGTAATCCTTCTCAGATTGGCCTGTGACGCCTGTTGACATGACTATTGAATATATAATATCCGATAATGTATACTTTTCAGGCAGTTCAAGTATTTAAGTTCCTTTCAATTCATATATGTGGCTCAGAAGTCTCTAAGCCATGGGAAATTCTCATCAACAGTTCCAGATATCCAGGCAGTGATACTCATTCAACAAAATTCCCACATAGGATATTTGTACTTTAAGAATCTGGGCAAGAAATCTAAACTCCCAATCCTGACTGCCCCTCGCCCTGTTACAATTCATTCTGCCATTACTTAGGGTGTTTCAAACTTACCTTCCAAAAATAGCTTTTAAAATTAAAATCAGATGACAGAAAACAGAAATAAAATAGAGTTCCAACCTGTTAAACATTTCTGAATTCTCACCAGGTTTCCTTTTGAATGCAGAGCTGATGAAGAGCAAAGCAGTGTTCACCTCCTCCAGGGATGAGGCCCCGTGTCCCCCATGCTCAGACATGCCGTGATCGCCACAGAGAACCAGTAGGCTGGGCGGATGGGCTTCTCTCTCCTGTAAGGCAAAGGGAACGTTTCAGCTGCATTTACACAAGAACGTGTACTCTCGTTAACAAGGAATTTCAGGTTTAGCTTTGTCAACAGTTGCTCTTTCTACATTAGCAGTTTCTTGTGTGTTTTTTTAGCTATGAGCTTACAATCAGGTCAAAAGACCAAAGTCAAACAATGTAATGCACAAAACGAGTAGAGTCCCACGGAGATTACACAGCATGGAGGCCTGACTTGGGGCCTCTCGTGGCAGAGGGTTTGGGTCCGGACATCTCTGTCATGTCCAAGCTGGGAGGTTGTGGGCACATTACCCTGCATGCCAGTGTCAATTCAGCCACCTTGCTGCCTGTGGCTCTGGCCAGTGGCCTCTGCTGCCCTGGACATGCCTGGCAGGCTCTACCCCACCCTTGTTCTTGGCCTGGCAATGGCACATCTGCCCCATGTCCAGTCTCTGCTTGCATCTCACGTGACTGTTCTGCTCAGGCTGCTGAAAGTCCAGCCTTGCAGACACTGCCTCCTCCTCCTGCCCTATTTCCTGTGGCCATCACCTTTGAGAACACTCAGGCTTGTGCATTCTGTTTGCTCTCCCAAATACAGCCTCAGTCCCACAGACACCCAGAAAGGCGGTGATACAGGTTTCTAGATGTGACTGGGTGGAGGAACAGAACACTGGGAGGGGAACCAGTGCAGGTGGGCACCACTGTGGCAGCACATGCTGAATGAGGCTATCTGAGGGATGTTGGGGGCAACATCACTCAGGCAGCCCAAAACCATGCTCCAGCTTTAGTTCCCCTCGGAAACATGGGCACTAGGACCTCCAGCACCACAACATCCCACAGCAGCTCACCTCTGACAGCAGCGAGGTGTGGATTTTCATCAGGATGCTGTCCATCTCGCTGAGCTTGTGTCCGATCAGGGGACTGCTGGGCCCAGAAACGTGGCCGATGTGGTCCAGCCCCAGGTAGTGGAGAATCAACACATCCCAACCCCCTCTTCCCAACACTCCATCCAAGTGCCGCGTCACGTTGCTGTCCACCTTGAAGGGGAAAGTGCCTGTGAAGAGCTCCTGGCTCCTCCTGTCTTCACTCCTCAGGACAAAGGGTGTGGTCATTATGTACAGGGGCTTATTTTAGGTTAACAGGACTCCTGGGAGTTTGAAAAGCCCAAGGGGGAGAAAAACTGCCATAAAGAGCTAAACAAACACCGTATGAGACCAAGCTGTCACTAATGTCATGTCTGTCTCCAGGCTGTGGACAGACTTGTCCTACAGGGTCTGTCTGAGGACACAGCTCTGTGGGGCCACAGCTGGGGCTTCACTGAGCAGAGGACCAATGAAAACAGGTGTGAAGTCACAGCGCAGCAACTAAGGGTGGAGGGCAGTCAGTGAAGACAGGACAGTGTCCAGGGTTTAAGGGGCCAGCAGGGTGATGTGGGGGCACCTGTGTGCACTACAAGAGCATCCCAGGAGGAAGGAGATGCAGCCCCCAGCAGCCATTAGCCCAGCCAGCATGACTCTTCGGTTGGCCCACCTCCCGGCCACTGAAAAGTCTACAATAGAGAGAAGTGTTTCCGAGTGAGTATACACAGGACAGGGAAGCCCAGCCACCACTGGTCACGACTGCTGTCTGCTCCGGCCACTGTAGCAGAGGGCACCCATGTCAGCAGGAATGCGGGGGATTAACCGGGCCCAGCAAATGGACAGGGGTGGGTGTGCAAGACTGTCTATCCCAATGCCAAGTCCAGACATATGGGTGCCACTGCCCACGGGTCTCCCTCTGCACCTAGGCTCAACTTTCCAACGAGGGCTCTAATCACACTCTCTTCCCTGTAGGAGATGGCACTCCCACCATGGGGCTGATGCCCCAGGACCAGTCCACCCAGCTCGCCCTCTGCCCTCATGCCTTCCCACTCCAGACACTGTCCCCCTCCCAGAAGAACCAGAAGTCCCAGGGGTCCTGGGTAGCCATGGAGTCCTCAGGCTCTGCCTTGGATATCCGTTGCCACCTACCCTGTCCCCTTAGGACGTCCCCACTCACCGGTTAAACTCAGCTTACACGGCTGCCTTCTGGGAAGCGCTTTTGGATCCTTTATACTCACCAATCAGTGCATAGCTGCCTATGCTGCAGGCTTATACCTGCACCAGGTCTTACATCTCTGATTGTAACTGACTGTGTGAGTGAACCACACTGACAATGTCTCCATGCTACTCCTAATACAATAACCAACACCACTACAAACAATGCTGTCTATATAGTAGGATACATGTCTCCTATTTTAAAAACTGACCTCTGTATAATCTGACACGAAAAATGAGGTGGTTCCATCATATTCCACAAAATGCTTTGGGAATAATTTCACCCATGTTTCATCTCCATAGAAGATAATTCTTTTTCCAGCTTCTTTTGCCTGTGTGATGATGTTGTCTTCCAGCAGTGCAGGGGAATTGAGGTTTCTGATGACATCGACAAAGCCAGGAAGGCGTCCTGTCATCATTGCCTGCAGGATGGAACACCCAGGGATTAGACTATGGATCTAAAGAGCAGCATTCTACTGTCCCAGCCAGGCTGAGAGCAGCAAACTCAGTTAAATTTGGACAAGTAAAATACTATAGAGAGCCCCTCTAAACCTCTTAAAGAGCCAGGCCACAATTTATAAAATATTAAAACCGTTCACCTTGATTCGAGGCATAGTAACTGTAGGGGGCTTTGCTTCAGCCACAAAACTGCGAGATGGTCCTTTTTCCACAAGGTAAGTTGTGTAGGGCATAAATTTCACACCCTTTGACCCAAACACGAAATCATCTCTCAAGGCATCTATCAGCATAATAACGACTTTACTGAAAAGAGGTGGGGGCAACTTGGTCCAATTGGAACTGGCTCCTAAAAGTGTTTGAAAGAAAAAACGAAACTGAATTTTAAACTTTATTTAGCATTCAATCATCTATACTCTAGTTTCTACCCACTTCTCTGGCATGTATCCTGTCATATCTGTAGGTACCAACCCAAAGAAAAATGTCCACAGTGCGGGTGGTGGTGAGAGGCTTTCAGTAAGCTCAGAGAGCCCCAGTACTAAGGTTATGAATGACCTTAGCATGATGAGGAGTTCTCGGGCAGGGGAGTCCCTTCCTGAGGGTCCTGGAATGATAAACTTAGGCAGCTTAACCTAAAAGCACCATGCTTCACTGAGCGGAAGGGTGAGTATTTACAAAGTGTGTTTACACGGTCAGTGGCTGCTATGGTGTGGACCTGGTCCAAAACAGGAGTGCCTCTACCTGGTATGTACTGCTGGGTAGGTGAGGCCAGGAAGGGGTCCAGGCAGGGCGGTCTTCACTACTGGTTAAGAAGAGGTCTCGAAGGAATGTACAAAAAAAACCCACCACAAAACAAAAACAAACAAACAAACAAAAAGGGGTGTAACCAGGAATCTTTATCTGTTGTGACTCATTGGGCAAAAAGGGTGCCAGGAACTGGGCGGCTCAGAGCCTGCTCCGGGCAGGGGTGCGGGCGTCCCCGCGTTAGAGCCCGAGGGAGGCGGGGCCCGGCTGTGGAGAGCTCACCTTTCGGTGACCAGGGAGGAGGGTCGAAGTGGGGCCGACAGCGGCGGCCGCCACAAAGTTGTGGGACAGATACAGAAAAACAGGCTGGAGCGGTAAGAAGAGGGGTCCCGGGGGCGGGGCGCCCCGGGGAGAAGCCCGAGAGGAGGGGCTCAGGAGGTCCGTCTGGCAAAACTGGGCCCAAGGAGCGGGGCGCGGGGAAGCGGTCCGTACCTGCCGAGGGCTCGGGCGCTGCGGGCCCTGTCTGGTGCTCGGTCCTGGAAGAGGAGCGAACGGGAGCCGGGAAGAATCCCCGAAGGAAGAGCGCGACCCCGAGCACCTCGATGACCACGCAGCCCGCGGCGAAGGCCCCGGAGCCCAGCCGCATC